TCAGAAATCTTACTTGGATTGGTATTCTCTATAAGTTCCCGTTCCAGTGCAAGTTCAAAAATTACATCGCAATGCCTATGTATGAAATGACATGATAAATAAAATTACTATTCTAATATTGACAGAAAAAGCATTTACAGAATATATTCAGAGTATTTCAGATAATATAAGAGCTAATATCAGGACTTCAGGTTATGCCATACACTTCGAATGTGTAAGTTCTACAAACTGTTTCTTAAGCTGATAATTAAAGAAGAAGAGCAGGAAGGTGAAGCAGTCATGAACTGAGGGCAGCGTAGCTCAATAAATTAACTAGAGTTTGCGTGGCATGACGGAAAGTGTCCTGAACTCAGAAAAGTGCTGGCTCTGTAACCAACAGCTATTTGTTCTTAGAAAAGTCCCTCTCCCTTAGGCTCAAAGCTTCTTCTAAAAAATGAAAAGTTTACTACCTTATTTCACTTGGCTGTCATAAAAATCTAATGAGCTAAGCTTTTTCAAAACCCCAGAGAAATAGGCAATAAAATGATTTNACTTGATACCTACAAGTAATCTGCCGTGTACAATGACCACACTCCTAACCAAACCCTATCAAATGGTATTTGTAGCAGAATCAGTATGATAATCAAACATTCTCAAACTCAAATAGCATGATCTTTCTGGACTAACTGCACCAAGAGAAGTTGAAAGAGAGCATATTTATTTTGTTGTGACACAACACAGCTTCCCCAGCTCTTCAGTACCCAGAAAGGTATTGTTTAGTTGCCACTTTTAAAGATAGTTACTTTTTTGGTGACATAAATAATTAATATTCATTTACTGAGAGCAATCCATTTATTGTATAAACTAAATAGAAGACCCATTTTCATAACAAGTACAGTTTGTTATAATGTGGTTACAGAGAACACACACAACAGACTAACTTAATTTTTTTTTTTCTTACTTACACAATATAAGATTTTAGGGGCCATAATTAAATAAATGTTTTCAAACAATACTGTTTCAGATTGGAAATTACCTACAATTAACTTCTTAAATAATTCTAAATTCTAGATTATTAAAACATTTTTTAAAAATCTACATGCAATTTACACATTA